GGCGGTTTCCATGTAAGTCGATGGCATTTCTTGTGCAAGAAGTTCGTTTTTGACAGGAAAAATCCGTTGTCCGTCCGGTTGGATGGGATTGTATTTGGTCCACCAAGAAGCCTTTCTGATTCGTTCAGGGATCCCACTTGAGCATTGAAGTCCCCAGCGACTACTACGACGTCCGTTGATTGAGCCCTTTGGAGTAGTTGAGAGAGATCCTGGTAGAATTCATCCTTGATTTCAGGTATACTGCACTCGGTCGATGCATACGCCGATACGACGAATAAGCATCGACGCTTCGTTCTGCAGCTGTTGAATCGAACTGAACCGTTGAGACGTACAGCGCACAATCGGCTACTGACTGGAATCCAGTCAAGGAGAGATTGCTCAGCCTTGGCACTTAGCGCCATATCACATGTATATGCTTATTAAGACAATCCCTAATAGATAGCTCGCCATTTCAGGCTTTTTTGTTGTCTCAGTCAGATAACAGCCGTCAAATTTGACAGCCTTTTTACCCCTTGGGTGTGAGAACTAAACGTACTATCTAGCTTTTATTGAACAAATTAATTGCTACAAAAGGGATAAGCCCCATAATCAAAGATGAGAGGTATGTTGGGGAGTATTCAAGCGAAAAACAATTTGTCTTTGAAAATCAAAAAAATTATGATTGGTTAGAAATACGCAGATGCGAAAAAGGATTTGAACATCAAAATTCGATATATGGTTACAGAAGCCTGATGAGATGGACTGACCGTCTGAGAACGGGATGGACGAGGAAGTGACAAGAAGAGAACCGCTGAAGCGAGTTCGGAAGAACGGAAACTGGAATAATAACGGTAGAGAAGAGATAAAAAAGCAACTATCCGGCGACGGGAAAGCGGCATCAGATTTGAACTTGAAAGCGGTTTATTGATCAGCGGTCACGAAGAGAAGGCAGAATACGAAGACCCAACCCGTACATGACGGCAGTATTTGAGCATCGGGCGGATTTGAGCTTTATATAGAGGGAGAAGGTACGTGAATGTAAAGAAGCACCTGGCGTGAAATAGGAAACGGACTTTGAGTGCAGCGCGAGAGGTTAGTGTAAAAAACTGTTCTGTTGAGTTCAATGAGTTCTTTCAGCCGTTAACCATGAACTGAACCATAAAAGCAAAAGGAGATCGACTGGCAGGCAGTTCTGCTGTCATCCGGTTCAATACCACGCCTAACCTATTGAGGCCTTATGTGGTTCGCCACACCAAGTCCCGGGGCTTAGGTTGCCGATTTCAATCACTGAACACTAGGTCCTCATGACTATGGGGTCTGCCCCGTCTGCTGTTCATCACACCTAGGTGTGTAATAAAAAAAGAATTCATGGATATACCCAAGAGGGAATTTTCGGAACGAATAGTGAGTGAGTCAAGAATTAGGTGAAGACAATAAGAGACATTTAAGACATTTAAGAGAATCGAAGTACAGACGTTTTAAAAGCATTGCAACGCATGGTTGTTAGAATCCCATGCAAAGATGAGTCCGAGATCAAAGTCACGTGACAAAACTGACACTACGGTGTATGGATCATCTAGGTTATGTCGGAATAGCCGCATTAAATTGCTTCAAGACTGTTAGCCATTTGACGCTGTGGATGCAGAAAAGTGTACACGAATGACGTCTTATGGGTAAATGTGAACCCCCCCTACGAAAATTGGTATTTCACTAATTACTGATGGTAATACATCATATATCTAATTTGTCGAAGAGACCACAGTTTTATCATTCATTAATCCGCGCTAACCCAGTGAGTGAGATTCATCTTCTGATGTGTAAAGAAATTAATGAAGTTAATTTTGCAAAGACACTGTGTAGACGCACGACACTGCGACACATCACTCACCGTCTATAAACACCGATCACATTTATCCCAATGTCTCCATTTAGGAAGCCTAACGCGACCTGGTGAGCAAATCTCCTGGTCAGGGTTTTTATACCAAGTCTTAGTTTGATCACCCTTTGTTTTTTCCACCATCTACTGGCAAATATCGGGCGCCATAGCAATCTATATGATAACATGCGTAACACACCCCAGTCAACATAGTCTATAAAGGCCGACCACTTGCTCAAGAGGGAGATCGCGATTACCTAAAACTCTGCGACTAACCTCAGCGTTGCTTGTCCGGTTTCCCTACCTAACTCGTGCATTGTGTTGTATCACTATCGTGCAGGAGTCGAGCCAGTTCTAAAGGCCATACGGTACTAAAGGGAACATGGACAAATGTTAGCTGTAATAAAAATCACAGGCAATTGCAAGTCTGTAATCAGCAAAATAACACCATTGGGTTCGTGTCTAGGTCACGAAGAGTAGAACAGTCACTCGAGTGCTTGACCCTAAATAAGTAGGCATTGTTTTTCATAATAAGTAGTTGCAGCTATGCTTGAGGTTGTGGTGGAGTTCCGCCTAGTAAGCAATCTTTCTACAACAAACGCAGCGTGATGTGGTGCTGAATATTGGCCCCTCCGGGTGCACAACGCGATTTCTTGACTTGACTTAACATTTATTCTAGAACCCAAGAAGGTCATTACCACCACCTTGTTTCCTGAAAGATATCTTTTGACTGTACCAGATCTAGAGCCACATGTTCGAAAAACAGATGGAGTCGTTCTCACCGTATTCCAAGGCTCCGTCATGCGTTCATCCATAAAGCAGACTAACCCCTACGTGGAACAAAATAACCAAGAGTGCCAAATGTCCGTGTCGCTTTTCGTGGTGAACTCGCGCGTAAGCTCGAAACCGACCGTGGTTATTCGTATACGGCAAATATAAATAACTAGTACTCCCCTCTGACTGACCCCTCAACGACAGTGTTGTAGTTATTTTAATGGTAGGTGGATTTTACGTATCGGGAGACATGTTATGCTCCTATGAAGGCGATACCATTGTTGAAGAAGTTGATGAAGTCTTTGCCATTTCTAAAGCCTAATTCTGATGCATACTTTGTTCTTGTACTTCAGCTATCACTATATGGTTTGTAAAATGCATCTGTCCGCTTTGTAATTGGCGAGATAATCGAATCGCATCACCCCTTAGTAATTTTTTTGTTCTCCCCTAGTGAAACAAAGAGAATTCTCAACTCCAACGCTGTGAGATCACACCTGCTGAATCGCAAGAAGACACCCCCATCTAGTTCGCAGACGTGCGTTTAGAAAAAAAAATAATCCAATACTTTTTGAATGAAACGATCACCCCATATGGAAAATTCTTCGACTTTATGCCTTTGTGCAAGAATAATGAAGCCATAGGTTCACTGTTATTCAGTGCCCTGAACACAAAGCAGTCCACGTGACTTTGTAGTTTAGTTAATAGCGCACATGCTCAAATGAACAGTACAAGCGAGGAACTGCATACTCACGAGGTCCTTTGTGAGAATCAGAACCCCAAACGCTAGTAATCCATCACGATAAAACTACACTTTGACAGGTTGTGGTGGCTTGTGCATGCCTATGATTCAACGGGCTTTTATCGATCCAACTCTTTCCCTTTGACTCTTCCCGTCAGTGACATCCCACAAGACAACTTGTTCGTCACTCGCCAAAGCTCATTGCCAAGTAGCACTGTAAGTAGTTTACCACCAAATACATTGGATTCTGAAGCCTGTTCAATCACTGAGTCCGGGGTCATCCAACGTAAGGACTATCATTCAGTTGGGCTTGATGGCTTGATGTCCTCTGAGTATTGAAAACTCGAATCGAGGATTTGTCTTCGAAGTACTTCCTCCGCACGTCAGGTGACGTCGAAGCCCATTCAGTAGGCCAGAGTAGAGTGGACATTGTGCTCAGTAATATTAGTCGGGTGGATTTCCGTCAGCAGTCGCTTGTGTTCGGTCCGGCTCCAGGTGTCTATCACCGTCCGAAAGGGAAGTAACACCAAAAGGTGTTTGTTCATCATTTCGGCGCATGTGTAAACCAACTGCAGTTCTCACGCTCAAAAAGATGACTTCTACGACAAACTCACCAAACTCATTCGATCGAGCCTAAGCTCCTGTATAGTTATGCTGGCAGGTGATTTTGACTCGTAATTTGGAGAGCTGAGCACATCAGAAGCTTTCCTAGGCGGTCGTTGTGCTCTGCTTCGCCAATGAACAATAACTGTTTGATTTCTTCAGTTTTGCGCCGATTGTCATCTGTTCCTATCCAGTACCAAATTCAGACACAACTCTCAACGAGGCGGTCCAATTCAACTGGTACGCGAACTCAGATCGACCACATAACAGTAAGCTACTGTTGGTGTGACGCAGCACGGAACTGCAGGTCTTATTGGACGACCTGCGTTGAATCTGGTCGCACATTATTTTCGATGCAGTTCACTCTCCGACCCACTGGTCGTAGAACAACCCACCAAACTCGGTTGGCAGGCCATCGTCTGTCTGGTCCAGCCGGTCGCACCCGCTTTGAATCAGAACTAGGTCAAGAGCTAAAAGCGGTGCACTGTGGTAGTATAGATAAAAAATGAGATTAGATTAGTCAAGCAATGCACTCCGCAGCAAGGGTTGCTTGTAGATCTGAAGCAGTAGCCCGACCTAGGCATTAGATATCTGATGAGTCGGTAGCACTGATGTGGAAAAAGCGGCAAATCATGACCGCCCGGGATCAAAGGAGGATTAAGTGGTATCTGCAATATCAACTCACAAAGAGCCTCAAGAAAGACCGTGAAAAGTGGTGGGCAACATTAACTATTGAAATGGCAGTAGCAGCTGATTCAGGGAATAGCCAAAGACTGCTCTAACTGATACGCAACATGTGAGGCCGACGAACTCGTTAGTGAAACAATGTGTTCAAAGTGGATGAGGTATTCTCAATAGGGCACAACGGATTGACCGTTGGGTGGAGTACTTCGCCGAACAGTTCAGCTCGCCTCGTGCAGTGGGTAATGGCCAGTGTCATATGAATCTCCCACAGAGGCAGAAGTGCGATCTTGTATTGAAGAAGGAATCTTGCAACGACTGTGCGACTCACCCCGGAATAGTTTGATCCCAATCGTCACCAAAGTATTGGCCCCCGTTCTACTTCGACGGTCGACGCCATTCGGGTGGACAAATATCATGGAATAACAAGGAGGATTTCGGCCAGGTGGCGGTTTGATTTCGCCATAGACGAAATAATGGAGTGGTCTCCCAAAAATAAGCATTGAGTCGGCAGCCGGAGAAAAGCTGTGTGATTTAGACTACGCTGATGACATTGTTCGTCTGTTCGAATGCACGGAAGATGCATGAAGTGTACTCTTCAGACAAGCGAGTTTTCTTGCTCCGTCCGGCGTGCTGCTGCAAGACTGGGTGTCACCGAGTCCCGTTCTGAAACTAGACGGTCAGTAATTAATTAAAGTTGACTGCTTTTCGTACTTGGGTAGTTACGTGACCGACGATAGTAGTGCATCGAAGAGGTAACCTCCCGCATTTCCAAGGCTCAAGCAGCATACGCGGGACTAAAGCACCTGTGGCGACGACGTGGCATTTCGCTGAAGTTGAAAAGTTGCGTATACTGTGCCATTGTATGACCAGTTCCGCTTTACGGTTGTGAGACCTTGAATTTACTAGGGGGAGATATCTGTCGCCTAATGGTTTTTGACAATTGATGCCTATGGCATGTGGCTCAGGTCAGATGGAGTAGGATATGTCATATGTGTAGATTTCAGTCGTATCGCGGAGATGTTTCTTTTCCCCAATTTTTGGTGACATTGGCAGATTTCAAACCTCGGCTCTTTGGTCCCTAAGCTTGCTAATAGGNGGGGAGATATCTGTCGCCTAATGGTTTTTGACAATTGATGCCTATGGCATGTGGCTCAGGTCAGATGGAGTAATTCGTCGGGTGTTTGGGAATGCTTCGAACAAGAACTCGCTAGCGCATCAAATTCAGCTCAGTAGGTGCCGCTATTTGGGACTCGTTTTGCGTTTCTAACGGTCACCTGCTGCAGCGCACCTTATTTGCAGTCCCCGATCCCGACTGGAGAAGACCATTAAGACATGGAGATGAAGCGTGAATAAATGCACAGAAATGCACATATAGTAGGTCTCTCCCGTCTTCCGAGTTGGAATCCAAAAAGCTTTGTAACTGGATGGTTAATGGCAATGAAGGTAGTGGCAGCAAACCGACAGCAATGGCGATCTTGCTGTCACATTTTATCAAACCCGTGTGCTAGAAATAGTGTTTATGCGCAGTTGGACTGCGTACTCCGAGTGTTAGCCATAAACGTTCACTTTCTCTTCCTGTCCCTCAAAATAGGCCCAGTCCCTATCCTCTTTGAACATTTTCAGTTACCTTGTATGCATTAGTGATTTGGCAGCAGTCAGTGAATTCCGATT